AATAAAGTAATAAATAAAAATAAGAATACCTCTTATATCAGGGAGTCCGCTGCTGTCCCCCCTCCCCTGGGGTCTGGGAGAGAGGGCGGAGCCTCTGTAGATCATTCCAGATACCTGAGAGTTGTTGGGCGAGCACAGCAGGTAGGGGTGAGCGTCAGCAGCGTAGGACATGAGCTCCGGGTCAGCACCGTAAGCGTAGGCCACGCCCACAGGCTGCAGCAGCTGCGGGGAGCAGTCCTGATGGCTCTTAGTGGGATAGGACAGGACCACCGGGGCGTCCCCCTGGAGCTGCTGCTGCTGCTGCTGCTGCTGCTGCTGCTGCTGCCGGTGCCGCTCCACCTCAGCGATGAGAGAGTCTCGCTGACGTTTGGACATGCGGCCAAACTTCACCGCTGGGGAAGAAGAGGAGGAGGTAAAACAGTGCAGGTGAAGAGCAGAGGGAAGCTGTCTCCTCCTGGACTCACCGTCTTTGCTCATGCCCTGGGCCAGGCACTTCTGCAGGCGGCAGTGCTGGCAGCGGTTGCGGCTGGCGCGGTCGATCTGACAGTTGCTCTGTCTGGAGCAGGAGTAGGAGACAGAAGGCAGCTGGCTGCGCCGGAAAAATCCCTGAGGGGACGATTAATTAGAGCCAAGTGTGAGGCCTCAAAGTGAGTTGATATGTGAAAGTGGGGCTTGTGGAGTTACAATAAGGAGGAATTCAGACCAAAGCATTGCAGTTCCATCTTATATAGAGCCCAGCTAAAGGATTTAAATATGAAAAAGATAAAACTGAAGTACAGAGAAATGAGTCAAGTAGATGAGAAGGCATCAATCTTTTTATCTAATGCACTATAGCTGCTTATTAAAGGTTTATAAAGTGCTTAAGATAAGACAAGACAAGACAAGACAAGATAAGATGATAAGACAAGACAAGACAAGATAACATAAGATAAGACAAGACAAGACAAGACAAGGTAAGATGATAAGACAAGACAAGACAAGACAAGAAGATAAGACAAGACAAGACAAGACAAGGTAAGATGATAAGACAAGACAAGACAAGACAAGA